CAACAGCTAGGCAGTGGATGGTGTGATGGTAGATCAAGGGAAAGAGTAGGGTACAGGTTGGTTCAAAGAAGCAGAGGTGAGGGTAGAGTTGGAACCGGCGTGGGAAGGTTAGTGGGAAGGTGAAAGGATAGGGCATATGAGGAGCACAAGGTGGTACAAGGATCTTCAATCTCTCTGAAAGACCCATTTTAGTTACATCCTTCCTAACATGAATCCAGACCATGAACCAAAATCTATCTGGCTATGTAGCCACTGGGTTCTGTAGCACAGTGCAGCAGCAAAGGCAATGCAATATGTCAAATAATTCGAAGTTGGTTCATGTAGAATGCTGGGGAATACAGCAATACAGATTTTACCATGAGCAGTTTTCACTGGCAGAATTCAAGAGTTGATTACTTCTCACGTAAAGCACATACTGTCCTTCTTGTTCAAATGCTGACATTTGACAAATGCACCAAACAACTAACACCAGGATCCCAGGATTGTAGAAACATTCACAAGACTTAAAAGTACAGGAAACAATATTCATTCTTATTCATCATTTTCTCCCACTATAAGTATTCCCAGATCTTACCCCCAGCAGTACGACTCACCCCAGCATCAACTTACAGTTTCAGTGTATCTAGTGTTGAAGTAACACACTAAAGTAAAATTTGCAAATGTCTTAACCAGCAGAAACCCAGAGCCGTTGTTCTTTGGTAACTTTTGAGTAACAGAAAAATTGCGCAGATTCTAATCTTTTTGATAGTTTGCTCTCCAGTTAGATGGATTTTCTTAAGAGGTCGAACAGATTGCCAGAAGAAATCAAATTGTACATCACGTGTTGGGAGGAGGTAGGCTGAAGAAGAAAAGCAGCCTTTCATTTTTCCTAGAGCTATCTGCTTCTGCGACCTTTAAGTCTATGTAGTCTCAGTGTCAGCTATGGCTCAGTTCGTAGCAGTTTAGCCTCTGAATCAGAAAGTTACGGGTTTAAGATCCATTCCAGAGACTGGAGAACAAAAATATAGGCCAACACTCCAGTGCAGTACTCAAGGAATAGTGTACTGTTGAAGGTGTCACCTTCTGAATGAGCCTTTAAATCAAGGTCTTGTTCAGTCTCCCAGGTGGGTGTAATGTATCCTATGGCACTATTCTGAAGAAAAGGGCACTTATCATTGTCACCTGGTTAATATTTACCCCATATCTAACAAAAGCAGATTTTTGGTCACCATTTTGTTGGAGCTAAATCTGCATAAATTCCTGCTGTATTTAAATAAAATTTCTGTTATATTTAATATTGAAAAGTAATTATGACAACTGAAATTTTCACCATTTCCCTCTCCCAGCCCAGCAATTAATTTGTCCACTATTTTCTTTCCAACTGCAGTTGTATCCTGAACTATGAATCTTTGGTGCTTCAGTTAAGGTTTTGAAATAAAAACAACTGGAGCCACAATTATGCAGACATAGCAATCTGGTTGCCAGTAAATAAAAAGAATAATAGGTAATGCTGAGTGAGGGAACTTACAGATGCAGCTTAAATGAAAATATTTGTGCCCTTGCACATCACTACTTGCTGACCAACACCATCACTAAATGCAAGCAAAAATAGCTTCTCTGGATCTTCTAATTGGAATGAAAACATCAAATAATAGTCTCCTTTGCCTTAGGAAACCAGGCAACCCTTTTCTGAGGTCTGTTAACGTTTTTCTTTCATTAAAATTCATTTGATTTCTGTGGCAGAATTGAAACTTTGCTTCACATAATCACAAACTATTCAGCTTATATAGTACACATTACTCTGGAGCCACTTCTGAGCTCTTGTAGTATTCTGAAACCATAGGTTAAGTTTTGATAATTAAACAATGCCATGCACCCAGATTTAAGGAACAGTTTTTGGGACCAAGCAGCTAAATCAGCAATTTTGAGCTGTAAAGTGAGGAAGAAATGTTGCACAACTTGGTCTTCACCAGTAGAATACGTTGAGTATATTTGGGAAAATAAGGCTAAAGAAAGGCAAAGAACCCTGTGTTCCAATCTGTACAGAAGAATAAGAGTTTTGTAGAACAGAAGATATATAGATAGGGTGATCTTCCACACACTTGCAGAAGAAGCTTACTGAAAGGTAGAAACCCTATGTTTGATGCATTTAAAATAGCAAATATCAAGTAAACAGCCTATTGGGAATTACATAGAAATGTTAAATTATAAATGGAGAGGATGGCAAGAGAAACAGAGCTAATGTTTCAGGCTGTTGACCTGTTGACAGTACTGGTGAAAGATCATTGATCTAGAACATGAACTCTGTTTCTCCTTTTTCAAATGCTGCTGAGACTGCTGATTGTTTCCAGCATTCTCTGTTTTTATTTTGTATTCCCAACCTCTGTAATATTTTGTATTAAGGAATATCTTGTTCATTGAATAGGTAACATTCAGGGAGAGGTCTGTATAGTTCACTCTTCCTGATGTGCAAGTGAAGTCTTTGCACTTAGAAATGCAGAGGTTAACCAAGGAAAGTGAGCACAGATTTGGTAAGGCAAATCAAGTTTGAAAAATCCAGCAGGTGTTTGTTGAAAAAGTGATGAATTGGACAGGGAAAGTGAGTTTAGTCTTATTTTGGCAAGTGGTTAAGCAGGTGATCAGATTAATTCATTAATTAATTGACTAGGTAGATATAAAGATTGAATAGTGTCACTGTGATTTGGTGGCAGGAAAGTCAATCGGTGTATGCAAGAACATTTTCAGACATAACCCAAAAGAAAATAAAGAGGGAAAAGACGGAACTGTTGGGTGGAAGGAACAGCAAGACTGACTAGTTAATAAACTCTATCCACAAAGAAAGGTTCTTGGTTTCTGTCTGGCCAACTGGCTTCAATCTTAATTGACATTTCAGAATTTCAGACTCTTCTGAAGAGTCAGACCAGACTCGAAACGTTAACTCTGTTTCTCTCTCCACAGATGTTACCAGACCTGCTGAATTTTTCTAGCATTCTCTGGGTTTGTTTCAGATTTCCAGCATCTGCAGTGTCTTGCCTTTATTTGTGTGACTTTTAGAAGATGTGTATATAAATTTTCAGGAGGCAGATGACAGAAAATACTTATTACAGTGAGGAACTTTAGAAGGAAGGATTGCCTGTTTGTTGGTGCAAAAAATGAAGAATTACAGTTAATGGATATTGTTCAGAATTGTGAAAATTTGGAATCTTGATATAGTAAACAGTGAAAAGTTATTTAGCCCTGTGAACAAAGGATAATTAATTTCAAATTGTGACGAGAGAGAGAGAGATCGGGAGAAATTTCTATGTGCAGAGAAGTTAAGGGAAGTAAAATGGACTTACACTGTGAGTAGTTGAGGAAGTGACCACAGCAACTTTTAGGAGACAAATATTTGAAACAAGGAAGATACAGGACCATGAGAAAACAGCAGGACGACGACTTTGGATTGCTTTAACACAGATACATTGGATTAATAGTCCTCCTTCCTAAACCTCTATGTTCTCTGATTCTACCGCAACATTATGATTAATAAACTATTTCAGACTGGTTCATAATTTCTGGTGTAATCGCTAATATCAACTCTCAAATACTGCAGTAAAACTCAAGGCAGTTTTATTAAAAGTCATTACAAGGGAAATTGTGTCTCATTAACATGATTGAGTTTTTTGAAGGGATGACAATGAAGTTTGATGAAGGCAGAGCGGTAGCTGTTGTTTGTATAGACTTCAATAAAGTGTTCGACAAGGGTCTGCATGGCAAACTGGGTTGTGAGGTTAGATCATATGGGATGCAAGGGGAGCTAGCCAACTGGATACAAAATCGGCTTGAAGGTAGAAGACAGAGGGTGTGGTGGAGGGATGTGACCTGTGGTATGCCACAAGGATCAGTGCTGGGTCAACTGCTTTTCGTCATATATAGAAATGATTTGGATTTAAATAAAGGAGGTATGGTTAGTAAGTTTGCAGATGACACCAAAATAGGTGGCGTAGTGATCAGTGAAGAAGATTATTACAGAGTACAAAAAGACCTTGGTCAGATGGGTCAATGGGCTGAGGAGTAGCAGATGCAGTTTAATTTAGATAAATGTGAGGATTTGCATTTTAGTAAGGCAAACCAGGGCAGTACTTACATGGTAAATAGTAGGGTCCTAGAGAGAGTGTTGCCGAACAAAGATACCTTGGGGTGTAGGTGCATACTTCTTTGAAATTGGAGTCACAGGTTAACGTTGGTGAAGAAGGTGTTTGGCATGCTTGCCTGCATTGATCATAATATTGAGTACAGGAATTGGGAACTCATGTTGTGGTTGTAGCAGACATTGGTGAGGCTACTTTTGGAATACTGTGTACAATTCTGGTCACCCTTCTATAGGAAGAATATTGTTAAACTTGAGATGGTGCAGAAAAGATTTACAAAGATGTGGCCAGAGTTGGAGGGTTTGAGCTACAGGCAGACACTGAATAGGCGGGGGCTATTGTCCCTGGAGCATTGGAGACTGAGGAGTGAACTTATAGGGGTTTATAAAATCATGAAAGGTGGGGTGAATAGCCAAGGTCTTTTTCCTATGGTGGGGAGTCCAAAGCTAGAGGATATAGGTTTAAGGTGAGAGGTAAAAGATTGAAAAAAGACCTGAGGGCTAACCTTTTCTCACAGAGGGTGGTCCGTGTCTGGAACAAGTTGCCAGATGAAGTGGGGAAGGAGAGTACAATTACAACATTTAAAAGGAATATGGATGGGTACATCAATGGGAAGGGTTTAGAGGGATATGGGCCAAATGCTGGCAAATGGGACTAGATCAGACTGGGATGTCTGGTTGGCGTGAAGGGTCTGTTTCCATGCTCTATGACTCTAGGACTTTATAACAGTATGACTCCTTTTTGAGCTTTGGTTTGAGGCACTTATTTATAGTCAGTAATATATCTGCAATTATTGCAGTAGATTTTCAAAATAAATGGATACCATCATTTCCCATTAATACTTGCCTTGATTTTCTCCAAACCGAACAGTGAGACCACAATCATACATACCTGAATCCATTTCTTCTTCAGCCATACTGTAGGGCCAATTTCCCTAAATTCCTTTAGAATCTGCTTATAACACTTCAGGTGCAAGACATCAAAATACGCAGTACCTCTCCCACCAAATTCAACATCCAGTTTGAACAGCCAACGCTTAATTTCTAGATTTTCGAGGATAAGTTGAGTAAGAACTTCATGCATCTGCAAAAATAGAGTTTTAACAGCATACAGTATACTATAATTACTCAAAAGCAGATTCAAAATTAGTAATGGCACGCTGACTGTTTATATTTATGACAAATATTCATACTTTATTAGACAGAAACAAAATAGAATTTTATCGCATATTATAGTGATTAAACAAATGTGATAGTTACACAGGAAGGCAGACCAGTGGACTAATGGTAGTGCAACTGGACTAGTAATCCAGAGGTCCTGGGCCAAATCCTAATGATACAATGACTAAAATTCAAATTCAACACATTAATACATCTGGAATGGAAAACTAGTCTCGGTAATCATGAAGTTATCATTGATTGTTTACAAAGACATCCAGTTGACCAATGTTCTTTAGGGAAGCAAATATGTCAATCTTACTCGGTCTGGCCTTTTCACACAGACTAACAGCAATGTGTTTGACTGTTTACTGGTCCCTGGAATATTATTACAAGGCAGTTGTGCAATTAGAAATGGGCAAAATAATACTGGCCTTGCCAGGGAAATATACATTCCAAGAAAGAATATAGTAAAAGTTCTGGTCAATGTTTAGTGCCTGGTAACATTTCTATACCACCTCAAAGGGTTTCAGCTTGTTTTTAACTCCTTCCCCAATTAAATGACATACTGATATGATGGACTTGCTATCAGGCATTGCTAAAAAAAGAAATGCAACACTGGGTTGCTATAGCATGGTTGAGTTTTAGGAAAAGTACAAGAAGTTTCACCTTATATCTAACTGCGCCTTATCTATTCTGGGAATTTTCAATTCAAATAGCAGCTACTTGAAATGGAAACATTTCTATTGGTCACTGAGACTCTAATGATTTTAAGATGGAAAATATTTTAAAATATCACAAAAATAACTGAACAGCATTTTGACAAAAATATTCTTCATATGAAGTGTGGATAGGATGCAGAATCTTCCATTATAAATCAGAAGTAGAATCCATAACTTCTTCTAAAAGGGAATGTAATACTTGCTTCAAAAATGAGACATGTTAAAAAGAGTATGGGGCAAGTGGGATTAGAAATGTGTCTGATGAAGAGAAAATATTAACACAAACCTGATGGCAAATTGCTGATTAAATACTGAAACATTCTGCGATTTTAATAGAAAATGAATTTACATGCAGACAAAGGGAGAGACAGCATTTAACAGCCAGTCAGACACAGCAGAAAGGAAATCATACTAAAAGAAAGGCAAGAAAGCCTGAGTTGCATGCCGAGAGCAACATGTATAAAATTTACTGCACAGAGACTGATCAGTTGGTTTGTGCTTTGTGATTTGCGTCCCACTCCTCTTCATCTGACCCTATCAGCATAATCTTCTATTCTTTTCTCTATTTCGTGTTTAGCTATAGCACCCCCTTGAATACATGCTTGCTATTCATCTCAACCATTCTATGAGGAAACAAGTTCCCCATTTGCACCTTTCTGTGTACAAAGGCTTACTAAGTAGAGAAGACAGAACAGGAATGAAACAATGAGAAAAGTAATCAGAAACAGGAGCAGATGAACACAGATGCAGAGATTACAATAAGAGGAAGCGTGCAAAGCACCAAGAGAGCGAGAGAGAGAGAGAAAGGAACACCGGGTGAAACAGAAAAAGCGGGAGAGGGAGCAAGGGAGACTTCCTTTTTGCCCGTGATCAGTACCATAAAAGTTCATCTGGCTCAAGATAAGATTTTTTAAAAAATCTATTTTCACATCTGGTATGATTCACATTAAAATAAGATAATATCAATGCACTCAGATACATTTATCTATATATATTAACTAAGTTAATAGACAATAGACGTTTTACTCACTCCATTCTTTCCTATCAAAATGTAACCATAATTTAAATGTAAGTTTTAACATTTGTACATCTAGCAAATTGCACAGGACCTTTATATTATTGGTATCTTTCTCTATCTGCCCACACCCCAACAAGTTGTTCTTGGCTTGTTGGAAAGCTAATATCCTTTTCAAACGAAGCTCAGTGGTGTAGTACATGTGAATATTTTGAAATTTTCTAAGTAATTCATTTTGGTTATATAGATTGAAGAAGCTATTTACTATATTTAAACATGAAAGTAGAAGGATAAAATTGATGCTTGCACTCTGCAGGAAATGTAGAGGTGTGTCGTCTATCTTCGTTTTTTGTGTTCAAGAATTTGTAGCTTCAGGGGAATATTGACCAATCTCTGCAATCAAAATGTACTTAAACACGCAAAATAAAGATTTATGCTGCAGAGTGAGTGTCTAAATATTGGCCAGTATGCTGAAATTGGACAAACAATTCTATTGAAGTAATTTCTCATCATAAAAAGATCCTCTTTCTCTGTGAACTAATTTACGCCACTTACTCAAGCTGTTATAAAAACAAACTAGAATGTTGAAAGCCTCGAAATAAAAACTGAGAATACAGGAAATACATAGAGCTTCAGTGAGGTCCGAATAAAAAAGTTCCATCTAAACCATTAACCTTATTTTCTCTTCCAGATGCTGACTGTCATGCTGTTCAGCCCCAGGATTTTCAGTTCTTATTTCTTTGATTGCTGCTTCTCCAAAGGCATTTACTTCTTCTTTGCTAGAGTTCCACAAGAACTAGTTGTACTTGATTGCCTGGGCTATTGGCCTTTATTTGTGTGTGAATCTGGACCAGCAGCATTCACAGATTATCCAATCACAGGAACCACCACAGCCAAGCCTGACCTCATCCGGACCCAACATCCGCATACACACAGTTTCCAGAAGGAGACTAACTGGGCTGTACAAGAGTAGCAGCATCAGATAATGTTCTCTCAGATGAAGGGGTGCTTTTGTCAACTGCAGCAAACCAACTGTTACATTGGTTGGGATGGGGAAACATGGTAGGGACTAGGAAATGTATTTGACATTTTGTTTTTTGTTTCAATAATGCCTCTACTTACAGGTCTCCCTATCACCAGTGCAGACCAACTATAGTGGTGATTCATCTGTTTCACCCGGTGTTCCTTTCTCTCTCTCTCTCTCTCTCTCTCTCTCGGTGCTTTGCACACTTCCTCTTATTGTAATCTCTGCATCTGTGCTCATCTGCTCCTGTTTCTGATTACTTTTCTCATTGTTTCATTCCTGTTCTGTCTTCTCTACTTAGTAAGCCTTTGTACACAGAAAGGTGCAAATGGGGAACTTGTTTCCTCATAGAATGGTTGAGATGAACCACATCCAGAGATGGGAAGTAGATAGAAAAGATTAAAAGAAAATGAGAAATGAGATTATTAATAATATTATGAGATGACCATAATCTTGCTGACACAGAAAATTTGTAACAGCAATCTCAGTTTGATTCCTGGTCTGAGAGGTTAGCTTGGTAGTAGAAAGAGTGAAATTAGCAAATATTCTGTCTCTGGTGGAAAAGCAATCAGGCAGCCCAATCTCAACTGCTAACACTTACAGGAACTGTGTATATGTAGATAGGGTGGGTTCAGGCTCAACAGCGATGTTCCAACAGCGAAAAAGCATTTGTCCATGCCTACACATACAGAATGGGAACCTGGCTGAGGAATAGGACATCAAGTGCAGATCTACAAGAAGTCAACACTTACGGTGTAGAGGGCTAAGTACCCTCGGTAATCAGGAATCTATTAATCTCTAAACATACTCAAAGACTCAAAGACCCCTCCGGGGTAGTGAATTCCAAAGGTTCACAACCCTCTGAGGAAAACAATTTCTCCGTATCTTGGACCTAAGTGGCATCCAGCTGATTTTTAAATTGTGAAACCCCCTGGTTGAAGATTCCTCAACCAGGGAAAACGTCCTACTTGCATCTAATCTGTCTATTCCTTTAAGCATTTTCTAAGCTTCAGTGAGGTCTCCTCTTAATTTTTGAAACTCTAGCAAAGACAGGCCTAGTTTGACTAATCTCACTTCATAGGACAGTCCCACCATCCCATGAACAAGTCTGGTTAATTTATTGCACTCCCGCTATGGCAATAATATCCTTCCTAAGGTAAGAATACAAAAACAATACACAGTACTCCAGGTGTGGTCTAACCAAGCTTCAATATGAAGCAAGACTTCACTATTTCTGTACTCAAATCCTCTTGCACTAAAGGCTAACATTCCATCAGTTTGCTGTACCTATATGTTAGCCTTTATCTAAGAATTACTCTGCACATTTGTTTCTCCCACCTAAGTGAATAATCTCACATTTGTGTACATTTTATTCCGGCTAATCATTAGATCGATAAAGTATGCTAATTTGTTACAATAATTCTAATCAAAAGACGTTGAAGATGTGAAGGAACACACTTTATTAATTGTTTGAATATAATTATGACTTACCTGCTGAAGATTGTATATATCATACTCCCCAGGTGGCACTGGCACAGAAGCACTCGCAAAGATTCTTTTGCTTCCAGACTTGGTGCTGTACAGATGGGCCACTTCCGGCTCTGGGCCTAAAATTGGCACATTTAGCATATCTGCAACAGCTAAGTCATCCTTGTGTAGCAGCCCGCCAATGATGTAAGCAGCCTTGCCTTCAATGAGATTTTTTATTCGCTTTATTGTCTTGGGACTGTATTTCAGATGAGTGGCCAGGCACAAGTGGTGGTTCTGTGAATAGTGACATTACTCTTGTTAGATTGTGTCCTTTTCTGCTCCCAAGGCCTAATTTATTATGCTGTACACAACAAATACATTATTAATAGTGGACTAGGTTGTGACCAGAGCTATAGTTTAGCAGTTTAAATTGATAAAAGCCACCAGTGTGGAGACTCACAACAGTTCCATAATCCTTCACATTTTTAGTGCATCATAAATGGGTTCCTTGGGAATTCAACTAATTACTACACATCTGTATTTATTTGATCCACGTGGAATTATCCTTCTGTCGCTTGAAAAGATGCTGGCAGCCTTCAATAACAGTGATTTATCTAAACGACAGTTGTGGCACAGTTTAGGACTAAAGCTTGGAGAAAATCAATACAAATAACTAACAAAAAATGCATCAGCTGGACTGCAGTGACATTAAAAAACACACACAGTCCTACACAGTTCTACAGGTTACTAGGCTGTAACGAATTTCTTCTCACAGTATGTGCTGTGTCGCTTACTAATCCTCTCAGTGAATTCTCATGTATTGGGGATTGTCGTAAAGGAAACTCTTTCTATAGAGAGTTTAAAGCTGCTCAATAATAGTGAGAAATGTTATCCGCAGCAGACTGTAAAAGAATTTTGTTAGATTTTTGTTAAAAGAAAGAGTGCTTGTCCAAAAGTGACAGGTAAAGATACTCCCTGGCCAAATATTCAACTATACACACCAGAAAGTATTAGACTCCAAATTTTGTTGAGTCAGCTGTACTTGGCTGGGGGTAGGCTTGGCATATTAGAACTGGACTCAGCATTCCTGGATGAGCAAAATTAAAATTCAGCAGTGTTTTTCATTCCTGATTGTTAAACAGCAATCCATGCTGCAAAGAGTTGCTTTGCGTGGAATCTGGGTAAAAATAGGGACAGCCTTGATTGTGATTCCTCCTCTGGTTCAACAGCTTGATAAAACTCATTGTCTAGTGCCACACATGAAACATCATCATTTAAAAAATAGCCCTGATAGCCGACAATCTGTTGTACCATCTGAAATCAGGAAACTCAGCAAGGTAAATGGCTCCAATCAGGGAACCTCTGGTCTGTGTGCTTTACTAGTACAGCAGGCAGCTTCTGTACTCAGTTTAAGCGGGAATTGAAAATAGATTGATTAATCTAATTTTCTCCAATTTCTGCACAATTATAATTTAGTAAGATACCCTAATGATTAAAATGGAGGGGCAAGATAGCTGTTAAAGAGCTGTAATTGTTCTAGGACAATCTAATTTTATCAATGATGAGGGAGATATCACAGCAAAAGGGAAATGGGAAGCTCTGCTACTGTCATATTATAGGCCATTGGCCTTGTGAGGATCTGATAGGTACCTCACCACACCAAATAGCTTCCTCAATTAAAATCACCTACACAAATCTTAAATTGTACTTAATATGTAAAAATAAAGTTTTGTTCTTTTAAAAATATTTTAATATTATAAGTCAGTTCAATGTTTATTTTACAACTTAGTTCCTATTTTATGTCTGTAACAAAAAGCTTGCTTGACATTACATGCTGTATTCTTACAAACCTATATATCTCCCCTAAGATTCTGTCACAATGCCAACATGACAAGACCTTTGCTGTGCACAAACACATGTTTTCAGAGTAGTTTTATCCACAGCTTTGTCAACAGTGTGCATATCAAGGTGAAGATTCTTAAGGATGGTATAGACAAGACCTTTCCTTTT